GTTGGGAATGTCATTGTCAGTTAGAACTGGATTGTGTTAAGGAAGGAAGATGTGGATTTGAGGGAAGAAGATGCTGTACTGCACAATTTTACTTAGGATGCCATGAAAACATGTTCTGGGCCAGTGGAAGAGCGTGGGTTGTTCCATACCTGCATTTGATCAACCTTTCTACTCTTCTGCTCACACAATCCCTCAACTCTTAGTCTGGTTCATTAATCTAGTTGAAAGTGCTTCATCCTGGATCAATCCAGCTCCATTCCCTGTGCTGGCTCCCTGCCTGTTCACACAAACATCATGGTCAATCACCCATGCTCCCATGGGGGACCCAAAGGGTATCCATGAGCCCCTAGCTCCCATAGCCACTCCTCACAGGACTTGTGCTCCAGAAAAGCTCCAGTGTCCTTCCCTGGACACCCTCCAGCACCTCAATGTCTTTCCTGTTCTGAGGGGCCCAAAACTGAACACAGTTCTACAATATGCTTAACATCAAGACATCCAGTGTCGCCAGTGACCGAGACAAAATATGTGAGTTAAAGCCAGCTCAAGCCCAGTGCTTTTCTCAGGGAGGTTTCTGTTAGTAATTTGATTTTTTATACTATTTTGTAATTCACTCATATTCACATATTCATAGATATAATTCACATTCATATACACATATTCACTCATCCCTTGCTGGTCTGGCTAACTTAGGAAGACAATGCCTTTTTCTTCATCTCTAGAGGGATGCACAGTTACACAGCTGGCAAATTCACTCAGCTGAACTAAAACAAAGGCCATCTATCTTCTCATCCCCCTTTGTGTAGTGATAAGGTTACCTTTATTTGCCTCAGGGGTGCTCAGTCACTCATTGCCCTTGCCCATCTTCTCTGAGCCTTCTTCCATTACAGGAATTCATTCCTCATCAGGCACTGAGGCCACTATGAGGCCTCACCTTGAGTCCTGTGTGCACTTTTGGGCATCACAATATAAAAGAGACATTCAGCTATTAGAGAGCACCCAAAGGAGGGTCATGAGGTTGGTGAAGGGTCTGGTGGGGAAACGTTATGAGGAGTGGCTGAGTTCACTTGGTCTGTTCATCCTGCAGAAGAGGAGACTGAGGGGAGACCTCACTGGGGTCTTCAACACCTTCATGAAGGGAAGCAGAGGGGCAAGTACAGATCCCTTCACTCTCATGACCAGTGACATGACCCAAAAGAATGGCATGAAGCTGAGTTGAGGGAGGTTTAGGTTGGATATCAGGAGAAAATTTTTCATCCTGAGGGTGGTTGCACATTGGAACAGGCTCCCCAGGGTAGTGGTCACAGCACCAAGCCTGCCAAAATTCAAGAAGCATTTGGACAATATTTTCAGGCTCATGGTGTGATTCTTGGGAATATCCTATAAAGGGCAAGGAGTTGGACTCGATGATCCTGATGGGTCCCTTCCATCTCAGCACACTCTATGGTTGCCTGATTCTATGATGCCTCTATTCTCCCCACTAGTAAACATACTTCTAAATGAAATAATTGATAAAAACAGACATCTGTGTTGCTGAGCTCATCCTGATTGGTTTTAAGTCAATACCACTGAGTGTTTCAGTTAGTAATAAGTCCTTCAGGTTGTGGATGTGACCATTCACCAGCACTGTATTATTCCCCAGAAACTGGGGGCTATGAAATCCTAGGAGTTTACCCTCCACCCTGGTTTCAGCAGCTCCAGCTGCATGTGATTACCTTCACCTGCATTGCCTGTTGCTGAAGAAACAAGCCCATCTGATGTGCTACTCCTCCAAATTACTGTTGATATCTACTTTAGACAGTGACAAAGTGTGACACTGAAGAGCAGCTTTTTGTTCACTAATTGTACAGAGGTTTAGACTGGCAGCTTGGCTGTAGGAATGTTCATGGTAGAGTGGCTGTGGTTGGGTGCAATCAGTGCTGCCCTGTCTGGCACATCCTCAGGGTGTGTCCCTCCAGTGTTCCTTCTGCTGTGTGAGATTCAAGATTGTCTCTTTGTGGCTGGGAAGGCAGCCATGCCACTTGTTTGGGCCAGGAGAGGTGATGGCTGGGACAATGCTTGGTGGGGAAATGGTGGAACAGGAGTGAAGCCCAGAGATGCTGTGTGAGGAGCCAGGAGGAAGGGGTAATCCTGCCACCTTTCCTCTCCCTTTCCAGTGGCTCCCTTCTCCCATAGCAGTGACCAGCCCACAGCCCTGCAGGAGAAATTCACGGCGTGGGAGTGCAACTCAGTGGCGGTGTCAGAAAACAAAGGTCAGTAGGGCTGGCAGGGGTACAGGAGGTCTTTGGGATGGGGACAATGAATGCTGAGGTCTGCTCTGACAGCAAGTGGCAGCAGGAGCAGACTTGGGAGAGGCAGACTGCAGAGGAGGGAAGCAGGGAGAAAAAGGGTTTCCTGCTAAGAGCTTAGGGGGAGGAGAGGGCCATGTTAATGATGACCTGGAGGGCAGCAGGGCTGTGAACTCTGACCGGACAAAGGGGACAGCACAGAGTGGCACAGGGGAGGTTAACAGTGGAGCAATAATAAAAGGGCAGCTCCAGTCAAGGAAAGAAGCAATATTGCCTGTTTCCTGGGGCTAAAGGCCTAAAGGAGACTGACTTGACATGGAGAAGTCAAACCACACCACCAAAATAATTTTGTGAAGATTGGAGGGAGATTACCAGGATTTTGTTTACACAAACCTCACTGGTCGTACCCCAAAGCAGTGCGAAAAAAGTGTCTGTACTCTGCTTGTTTTTCAAGCACTTTCTGTCAAGAAAAGTGACTAAGGAGAACACGAGCATTGTCCCTGGAGAACTTGGATCTTTGCAATCACCATCTCTCTTGTTGCTAGCATTCATTGCATTCACTCTGTGTTCTCTCCCTGCACAGGCCGAGGCTGGATGTGCTGCCCGAAGGGCTGGAGAAGGTTTCAAAACAGCTGCTATTTTCTGTCCCTTGATAAGATGTCCTGGTCTGAGAGTGAGCAGAACTGCACTGGGATGGGCTCCCACCTGGTGGTGATCAACAGTGAGGAAGAGCAGGTAGGTGCACAGGGCTGAGAGAGGGGCAGAGCAGCCATAGACACAGTGCTGGGCCCTGGAGGGGACTCAGAGCCCCTCCTTGTCCTGCAGGGGAGAGGGAACATCCTGTCTACACCCTGCAGGAACAGCTCCCCTCTGCCATCATCCCTACCCCACATGGACTCCCGATGCCTTCCTCTGATCAATCCTGCATCTCATGGACATTGCACTCTCCCTCATTTCCAGGTTTTCCTCTCTAAACAGATA